TCTATTCTAATCTAATCTATTCTATTCTATTCTATTCCATTCTATTCTATTCTATTCTATTCCATTCTATTCTATTCTATTCTATTCTCTTCTATGGATTTAAACAAGTTTAAAGTTCATTTGCTGCATGTGCAATGCCTAAATCACCTGGCGCCACTTACGCATTTAAGAATCAAATCAACCATCTAATTATAGCGATCGGTTGCTTTTATCCCAGGTAATCCAGCCTGCTGTGTTACATCACTTCCCATTTTGCTCACCTGGCTTAAAATGATCCTTGTAGATCTCAGCACCAAGGAAGCGACAGAAAGACATGTTCCGCTGCGGATACAGAAGCAGAGAAGCTGGTCTGGGTTCTTGGTTTCTCCTCCCTGATAATACAGCTTAGCCCCCTTGTTATGTTCAGTGACGTCATCCTCCACTGCTTGTGTTTGTTAATCCTACCGCTAGATGTCAGTGTCGGCCAAGAGAAGGAATTCCAACGGTATAAACGTGTTTCTTTTCTAACAATTAGGCGTTGCTTTGAAATGAGCACATTGAAGGACGGTTTATTCTGAAATAGCTTAATCCTTAAATAAAAAGCAACTCAATAAAACAGAAGTAAATAAGGTGTTAGACTCAGCCTAACCTGTGCCAGATGCTCTTCTAATTGGCCAATCTAATGAGACACCTCTAGTAACCTGAGTAAACTCTGAAATTCAGTTTTATAGCTGAGCTGGCAGCCTACTGTAGAATATTTTGATAAAGAAAAGCTAAACACTGCATCGTTTCAAAAAAAAATAAAATAAATAAAAATAACCTCGTGGGGTGGTATGTGTCATCCTCAAGCTCGGGTCCTCTACTAGAGGCCTGGGAGTTTGAGGATGGGCTCTATGCACAGCTCCACTACTTCCTGAATTTAAAGCAGCTCCTTTGTTTCCTGTCTTTCATGATTGGATGCACTGATTAATCCAGGTGTGTATGACCTAAGTAACTGGCCAGACACCCCTGGATTAATCAGTTCGTCCAGTAATGAAAGACAGGAAACAAAGGAGCTGCTTTAAATTCAGGAAGTAGTGGAGCTGTGCATAGAGCCCATTCTGCGCAGTATCTTAGCTGTTCCTAGGACTGCGCTCTTCTGGACAGACATTATTTATTTATATATATATATATATATATAATTTTGATTTTTTATTATTTTTTTCGCTTTGAAAATATGTAAGTGATCCAAAAGGAAACTTTTGAAAACTTTTTGAAATTTTTTTTTATTGCACGTTAATTGCTGTTAGCTGCAAGGATCTTTGGTCTGTCCTGATAAAAAGCAACCTAAGGTTTACGGACAGCTGTGAGTATCATCCATTTACATTTTATGGAATTCCTCTTTGTGAAATCATCACAGCAGGCTCTAGAGTCTTTAGAACAAATCTGGCCTTTCTTATGAGCTTGTTGTGTTTCTTTGAATAGTTTGCTCTTTTACCCCTGCATATATTGGAAGAAGAGATCCCACTCTCCACAACAGATTAACAGGCGATATGGAGCATCTGACATCAAACAGTAAATGACCTGAGTGTCCTAAAGAAGTTCAGTCTGCTCTGTCCCTTCTTGTAGATGGGTTCACAGTTGCCTCTCCAGTCTAGTCTGCTGTTCAGGTGAATGCAGAGGTACTTTTACTTCTCTGCCACATCCACTTCTTCTGCAGTTACATAATTTAATAGCATTTGACTTTTTTTCTGTTCTTTAACCTAAAATGAAAAATCATCCTCCTTGTTTTGTTGACATTAAGGATCAGATGATCGTTTCCACACCATGCAGCAAAACGGTTCACCAACTCCATTTGCTCAGCTCCCTGCCCCTCTCTAATGCACCCAACGATTCCAGAGTCATCTGAGTATTTCTGCAGATGAAAAGACCCAGATTTTTCCTGTACAGAGTAAAAAGGGATTAGACAGTTTACCCTTCAGTCACACAAACAGCTGTCTGTCGGGCAGTCCCTAATTCAGGTGATTATTGATCCCTCCACCTGACTTTTATGGAGTTTCTGGCAAAGGAAATCAGACTGAATCGTGTTAAATGCACTTGAAAAATCAGATAACAGGATTCCCACAGTGCCGAGACTAAGAGGGGTCCTAGTATATGCTTCATCTTCAGGATGTGGGATATCAGTGCAACAGGTCAAGAGTCACTGAGGACACATGGTGAAGTTCTCTTTGGTACGTGGACAGGGCAGTCTTCCAAATCAGTGGAAATGTTCTCCAGGTCAGGCGAAACCTTGAAGAGGTGCTGTAGAATTCCAAGGAGCTGCTCTTTTCATCACCTTTCACTTTATGACAGCATCACAATATACTGAGAGCTCTGAACCCTCAGCTGGAGAAGTGTCTTTACAGGCAAATTTCCATGAGGCCATTATTCCTCCTTCAACAACATCCAGACCTCAGTTCTGCTCACCGACCAAGCCACGTTCTCCCAGTATATTGTTCACTCATCCGAATGAAATAAAATACAGACAAAGCTGCTGCACCCACTCAGATCAAATCTTGCTTTATTCCAGATAGAGAAATTGTATAATAAAGGTTTGATATGGCTGTTAAACATTGGAAGGATCTCAGAGGGTTCTTGTTTTCCTCTACATCCACATACTTCATTCATACTTGCAATAATGCTTGAGAGCCTCAGGCAGCTGGAGCCAGTCGATAGCCATCCGGTGGACAATATGCTTTTGAATGGCCTTCCTGCATAGCGTCTGCAAGGAGGAGACTGGTAGGACATGCAGAGAAGACAGACAGCAGATCAGCTTAGCTATGTGTTGAAAAAGGAAATGTGTCAGAAACATGTAAATCTAACAAGAAATGCCCAAAATGCATAAAACTACCATTAAAAAACTTACACTATTGGAAGTGATCAGGAAACCACAAGAAATTAGAGATAAATGCAAGACTTATATGAGCCTATGATTGTTAATTTTAATATGACACTCACAGCCATATTCCACTTGGACTATCCGGACACACTTGGTAGCAGCGAAGACGTCCACCACTGCGTACAGAGGTGTGGTAGAAGGTATTCCCTTTGCAGAAGCTCCCATGTCTTCTCCGTTGATCACGATATGCATATCGGCCGTGTCTTTGCCTTTAGGCACGTACAGAACTCCGATCCTGCTACGTCTGGCAGTGGGAGGCAGGGCGTTTGTCTTATAAAGATCGTCTAAGATGTGGCTAAAACGTCCGGGGCGGCTACGGCCAACAAGTTTGTCTTTGGGGATTCGAATGGTGTCAATGTACAAGTGTGTGTCAGTGAAGAAAGTCTTTGTTTTGTTGTTGCTCCCTCCTCCTTCATCTCCCTGAACTCCATCTTCTTCCTCTCCACGCCCAAGTCTCCGTCCAGCACCAAGGCCTGCTTCTCCAACTGCTTGATCCTCGGATTCCTCTATTACCTTATTATGGTTCCGGGTGATGGCAAAAATCCAGCTGTCCCCTAGCTCCATCAGGTCTGGAATAGAGTATTCAGGGACCACCTCTAAGCTCGATGGGTCCTTTGCAGTGAGACCAACCCGTAGATGTCCACACCAGCCAAGCTCCTTCTCCTCAATCTCAATAAGAAAGATCTCTCCAGGCTTCAGGGGGTATTTGCTGAAACAAACACCATTGGCAAAACTTTCTACTCGAGTGGCCTGAGTTCCCGAATGGTCTAGAAAGATATTAGTGCCATGCTTTGGGTGAAACTCCTGGAACTGATCAGAAAGTGCCTCCATTTTGTTTTCTGTCAAACGTACTTGTTAAGGACACAGAACCAACCCTTAACAAGATATTTCAAAGGAGACAAACAAGAAGAAAAAAATGTTTCCGATAAAAGCTGAACAAACAGATCTGAACTACACTCAGTCCAACACATGGGAACTGCAGAGACACAACGTGTTATTCAGACGCACTGAGGGGTTCTTCTCTGCTGGACGCTTCAGGAAGCTCCTTGTAGGGGGCTATTTTTAAACAGCGGCATGTGTTCACAGATGGGATCCAATGTTTGTGTGGGTGGGTGTACGTGAGTTAAAGGGGCGGCAAACAAACATGAAAAGGACAGTTAAAATTATGAAGCAAAGAAATATATTCACATTAAAAACAAAAAATTAAAAGAAGCACAAAAACAAAATAATACTGAGTCCAAAATAATACACTTAATTATAAGCTTAGCTTTAGGACAGACTAAGTCTTTAGCTGTCCTAATTTGGTCCCAAGATTTCTGGTGACTTTACCTCTTAAAACATATTTCACCAATGTGGGAAAATATTCAACATTTTAAAATGTACCATTTTTAACCTTGAACAAAGGTAATTGTTTATATGAAGTAATACAAGTTAAATGCAGCAGATTAACTGAACATCAGGTGTGTAAGAACACAAGTTCTAATGTAAGTATTGGCAAAGAAAACAGAGAGAAAATCCAAGAAGATTTTATTTATTGGTTAAATAAAGATTTATAATGAATAATGCTAAACCTATATTACGATATTATGATAATCTTTTAAAGTCCTCCCAAAAATCTGTATTATCCATTAGTTATAAATGAATAACCAATGGATAAAGTTGGAGTGACTACTACTGCCTAGAGAATGGGCTAACCCTCTTCAGAAATGCCTCAGTTGCTTCACAGCAACATTGCAAATACATGCATCACTGGGACAATCTTTCACAAAGAAAATCTAAGATGGACATCAATCTTCTTCACAGTGAAAGCACAGTGAGGAGCTGTTTGTAAAATCCAGAAGCTCTACTGTAGGTATATTTTTATTCTCCACAGATTAGTATATTTCACCTGGGATCAGGTTAGGAGACTCACTTTCAAAATTAAATAATACCAATATATAGATAGACCAAATTTCTCTAAGACAAGTTTCAAAATTGCTTTTGCAAAGAAGTCCTCAGAAAAAGATGAAACCTTCTATTTTTGAATGAAAGAAAACATGAACCATTTCCATTTCCATTTAGCCCAGAAACTGCTGCTACTTCTTGGAGCCCTGCCTGCAGCTCTGCTCCTCCCTTTGGTATTTCTAGGTCTCCCAGTTATGTCAGTGTGTTGGTGGGGGCAGAAGAGTGAAGAGAGAAATAATTCTCATTTTATCTTTGCTCCCTCCTCACAAGCCAATTTCATTTCAGCTGCTTTAACAAAGATTCTGAGCAGCGCTTTGTAAAAGTTTTCACACACCTTCAACAATGTCCCCCTTTCCTCCTAAATTACAGCAGAGGTTTGATGAGGAGTTGATGAAATATAGAGCTAAATCTAGGACAATCCTGGCAGAAATCTGCACAACAGCAAAGACTGAAATGGGGTTTTACTTTTAGCAGGACATCTAAACATATCCGGCAGATATATAATGGATGGTTTAGTTTAGTTCTGATTCAAGGGTTACAATGGCCTAGCCAAAGTCCAAAGCTAAATCCAGGAACCCAGATCCAAGAATATAGCAAAGAGGAATAAAATTTGAACTTCTATACACTATGGGCCTGATCTTTAGAGATTCTAAATAAGAGGAGCTGAATTGCAGAGGATTTTATTTCTTGGGTAGTGGAAATGTTGTGGTTGATCTACAAAGATTTTTTAGCAAATTTTAACTCGTGCTGCATTAAAAATCAGCAGGCTGTGTTTTCAACTGGCAGTTTGATAATAGTTGTAAAAGAAAAATAAGTAAGGTTATAAATTAGTCAAAACGTTATATATTAGCATAAAAGTTATAATGCTAAATATATATATATATATATATAAACAATGAATATACTAAATAATATCTATACTACAATTGAAATAGGCTGCCTATCGTAAAATGCTACAAACAAAAGTAAAATGATCAAATTAGGAATATAAATAAAGTTAGGTGAAATATCAGAAATAAAATACCATAAACCATGAGAGAGTTGTTTCTTGTCTGCTAATTGACATAACAGTAGATTACTTTAAACATCTGGATTTATCCCTCAACATCAACTGGACAAATATAATGCAAAACAAAATGTAGATAGATGACCGTGGATGAAGCAGGATTATGTTTTGTTGAATCAACAGATGAATAATAATAATTGAAATAACAAAACAAAAAAATCACTGTTGCAATACAAAGAATTACAGATAGGCAAGCCTTCTGAGGACCAGGCTCTAAATGTCCAATGCTGGCGAAGCCGCAACAAAACATACCTGAGGCTGTAACTGCAGGTGGTTCTACAATATTTTCCCTTAAAATCTTTACCTCAATCAATCAATGGAACTGAACACAAAGCAATGAAACATTTAAAAATTTTCTTAGAACATACCAATAAAAAACAACAACAACAACAAATCATCTTGAACCTAATTTGTGCTTAAAATTTGATAAACTAGCTGCTCTGTTTTCTACGGCAGAGGATTAGGGCCACTTAATTATTTATTTATTTATTTTTTTTTTTTACAGATTTTTAAATATTATTTCAGTTTAATATGAGAAAAAAGTCAGAATTCCGACTTTTTTTTTTCACAATCCTGACTTTTTTTTTCCAGAATTCTGACTTTTTCTCAGAATTCTGACTTTAATCTCGGAATTATGACTTTTTTTCTCGGAATTCTGACATTAATCACAGGAATTCTGACTTTAATCTCAGAATTCTGACTTTAATCTCAGAATTTTTTCTCAGAATTCTGACTTTAATCTCAGAATTCTGACTTTAATCACAGGAATTCTGACATTAATCACAGGAATTCTGACTTTAATGTCAGAATTTTTTCTCAGAATTCTGATTTTAATCTCAGAATTCTGACTTTTTTCTCGGAATTCTGGCTTTTATCTCAAAATTCTGACTTTTTTCTCAGATTTTTTAAAAGACTTCTTTTTTCCCATATCAAACTGAAATAAAATTTAAAAATCAGTGAACTTTTTTTTTTTCAGTGGCCTTAATCCTCTGCCGTAGTTTTCTTTAAACGGGTACCTAGATTTTTGTTGTAATAAAAGTTAGTGCTTTGAGCCTCAATGCCTGAGAAAGCTGAGCCCATAGCTTAATAGAAGCCTGTGGCAGAGCAGAGAGCGGATTCCACATCCATACATGCAATATGCGTCTGACTGGGACACTGTTGGTTGATTTAATCTGGATTATCGTGCAGCGCGGCCACGCTTTCCATAATCAGCGCGGGGAATTGCAGCGCGTGACACATCTGGCAGTTATACAGTTAGGGGCAGAGCGCGTGCATCTGCGCGAGGCGAGAGAGAGAAACAGAGAGGGATGGAGTAATCTGCCCTGTTCGGTCCGAATCTTTTCCATTTAAACAGGAGCCATATCTGAGCCGCTGGTGTAGAAAACATCCTCCGGTGAGTAAACATGATTCCTCCTTTTTGATGAAGCCTCATCAGACAGCGCGTTTGCATGGATGATTATACAGAATGTGCAGAATAGAAGGACTTCTCATAACAAGCATCACTTTTCACTCCTACTCCTCTCCTCACACATTAAAGGGACTAAAGTGACTCAATTACCCACTAAATAATTTAAAACTGTCATTGATTACTTTAAGTATGAAGCAAATAAATGATTATTGTCATATATTCATTTAAAGGATATTTCTCAATGAAAACAGTTAATTTATTGCAAACAGCACAGCTATTAATGTCCATTATTATTGATATTTGCTGATTTTCAGTCAGGTGGAGCTAAGACTAAGTGAATCTGCTGTATTACTTTAACAGTTTTACATATCTTATAAAGTTGTGAGCTATTTGATTAATTGATTGAATGCATTTTCAATCAAATTACTGACAAACTTAATCATTATAAACCAATATATATTTATACATTTGTTGTTTTCTCTACAAATATGACATAAGGATAACAATTTTTTTTTAATTAATTTCAGTCAGGATATTTTTTTATGGTTTAGAAATATACCAGGGTGTTTAAACTGTTCTGTAACAATCAAATAAAGGGTTTTAAAAGCAACCTTTTAATTTTGTTAGCTGGTGCAGAATCTCTGAAAACACCCTTGGGACTTCACTCCCACCAGATTGATAAAAGTGAATTTCTCTTAACCAATATGTAAAAAAATGTGATAACTGAGTCAAGCATCAGGATAAAGCCCCTGACTTGTGGTTCCAGGATAAAATGAATGTTGGCAAAAGGACAGTGAAGGATTGAGAAGTCACTAATAACTACAATCAGCACAGATCCCTTGGTAACACAGCCACCAAATACCACTTTAGCTCATAATCCTCCTGGATTATTTCTCAGATTTTACAGTAAAATCCTGATTAATGATAATCTGAGATCGTTAATGTTTGTGTGATCAGAGGACGGTCCACAAATCTAGGAGACATGTAGTTTCCTTAAAGAGCCTGTGAAGCAGAGAAGATGTGTCTTCTTCATCAAAGGAATGATGATTGTTTATATAAGCAGTCATAAACCAAAATGCTATCAACTGTATTTGCTTCATGGGAGCTAATGGCACAGCAAGAGGAGAGATGGTGCACTTAAATCTTTTATTTTTTCATTTGTTCTGCTAGGGAGTGATACTGATGAACAGCTGATGCTGATTTGTGAGGCGTGGTTGTTTTGAAGGGAGCGAACAGCAGGAGAGCAGAATAATAGTGGAGTAGTGTTTGATGAGAGAACTTAGAGGGAGATTGTGAACGGGGATCAAATGGAAAGTCGGCGCAAGATAATTTTAAGGAGTGTGGAACAATGTGATCAGGATGAATAGGTAGCTCTAGTGCGAGAATAGGTGATTGAGTCTCTTTGATAGGTGTTGAAATGTTTTCAGTAATCTGTAAATCTGGTTTGGTTTAAAGGTATAGTGGTGGATTTTGATGAATATTTGAAAAGACCTGCCCTCTCCACAACCCTGTCCTGTGTCATGGTGGCCCGGAGGTTTGACAGGACCCAAATGCAGACACTGAAACTGAAGTGGTTTCTTAAAGATTTAATAACAAAAAGGGTAACAAAAGCAAAAATCCCAAAACATACATTCACAAAATCCACAAAATCTGAGAACCAGGAATACTCACAACAAGGGGGCAAAGAAATAACAACAAACCAGCACCAGTGACTGAGCAGGTGGTGCATATATGGGAGACTGATACAAGAGGGCAACAGAAGGCAAACAAGAAAGAACTCAAATGCATCCAGAAAACACAACCAAATAGGAATAAACCAATAAAGCTAATAAGCAAAGAAAAACATGAATCAAAGTGAAACTGAAAACTCAAAAAGAAAACTTAAACAGAACCAAAACAGTGACATCCTGAGAGGGAAGACCTATTAACAAGTGCAAGAGCATGCACAAGCCCATTGCCTAAGTTGCTGCTTGCATCGCTCATACAAGCTTACTTTCGAAAAGAAAATTTTCTATATCAGACTCACCACTGATAAGTGAAAATGGGGATGAGCTCGTAGGACAGCCTTACATAAACATATCATCAGAATGATTGACAATTAGGACGACCAATTATTTTGATGATCCACCCGGAAAAAGAAAAACCTCCACTATACTTTAAATTTAAGATTTTATGACTGTGTGGACTCTGATGGCTAAGGCTGTAGGCAAACAGTTTGCTTATACTATGATTTAGATTTATGAAGATGAAGATTTATACTATAGGACCTGGCCTGAGGTACCTTAGGCTGGTTCTGACAGGTGGGTCAGTAAAACCTGCTGGATTATTCCAAACTGCTCTGGGAATTCCACTTTATTACATCTGAAACTTTGGTTTCTTGACTGATAGTTTTCTTTTCGAAAAATACTAAATCTCCTCCAGTCTCTTATTGTTTCTCCACCACAGAGGTCATGTTTTCAGTTGTGTTTGTTTGTCTGTTTACTGTCTGTTAGCAGGATTTCTTGCAAAGAATCCACAAAACCTTTGGTGATGATCCAGATCATAATCCGGATACAGGATTTTTAAAAAGCATTCTTTAACACTGAGAGACTACAGGGATATATGGCAGAAGAAGCAGTTTGTCATGAATCAGAGGGTGGCAGCAGTGACTATTGACAGCTTCAACATCAGACTCAAAAAGTCTGGATATATTATACTGAAGACAAATTACAAAAAGACAAGAAAATGGAACCATGCCTTGTTCTATGTCTTGATCTGCAGAGCTAATATTCAAGGTGAGAGCAGAACACACACCAGAGGCTGCAGACTCAGTCTGTGCCTCTGTCAGATCAGCCATGTAGATGCAAATTGGTTGGTTAGTTTTGTTGACCTATGAGAAGAATTACAGTACATGCTGATTTTAATAACAATTTTTACCAAAAGTTCACCACATGCCAAGAAAGATTTCATGTCCAGATTATAATAATATATGACAACGGAGAACAACGGAGGTCTTGGCTCTCTCAATGCTTTTCTATTTATACATGTTTCTGTTAGCATATGGCTTTACATGCCATGTTTATACATAAAACTGGTAACAATCTCTGTGGAGAATGTCAGACAATAACTGCATCTTCTTCTTTCACAGCAGATATGGTGCAGCCCACCTTTACTTTAACTGAGGGGATGTTTGAGCATAAAGTGGAGCGGGTCAGCAGAGCATATAGTAACACTTAGTAGGAGGCAGCAGATAGGTCACCGTTTAGTTCACCCGTTCCAAGCTGTTCTCTTGGAAACAAATCCTCTCCATATTCTGGCTTCTCAAACCAAGATGAAAGCTTTAAAACAATATATTTGCTCGAAGGATGTTATAACTCACATTTTAAAACTAACTTTATCAACATCACAGCATACATTGATACAATGCTTGAATGCTGTTCCACCCAAATGAAATATGCAACACAACCCTTTAAACTGATCATGCTCAGAAAAATGTTTTTTAGTTTTCTGATATTGCAAAGTAAAACTTATTGCTGCAGTTCTAGATAAAGAACCATTTAGCTTAGTGCAACAAACATGCAGCATCAGTCCATGTCTTGCATTTCTGAACTCATACAGTATAAGAAGACAATGATACTGGTTCACAGCTCTACAATCAGCTTAAGAAATAAAACCATGGCTTAGTAAGTCTGATGTTTGGCACCTTGCAGTCTGTGGCTCCTGTTACCACCCTGTGAAAATCTGGGAGCCAGACTGACCCAGACCCACAGGTTTATCTACCCTCCATCCATTTTGGGTGAGAGCAGATTAATTTTGTCTCTACCAGCTGCTGCAGAGTTGGTCCAGCCTTTTAATACTGTTACGTAAATGTGATCGGTGAGAAGTGTGGTTTAACTTATTTCGGAGCAGACCACTTGTCTCCTTTGGTGTTGGTGCTGTTTCCAATATTGTAAAACTACATATGTTTTGCCCAAAAAGCTGCAGCAGAGTTAAGCTCTTTAGACTATTTATACTGATTTCTTGGACGTTTTAGCTTCCCTAAACCTTTTTTGATACAATTTAAATCAAGTAAACATTAATAAAGAAGGGATATGTTTCCTTGAAATATAAAATAGTCTTGAATCTAACAAAAAATGGAGGTTTGTAGATTGCCAATGTCTTTGCATCAAAGCACATGTCCTAATCTTGTTTGCTGCTGAACTTCAATGAAAGTCAATCAGAGGAAAATTTTACTTATGCCTTGAAAGACCAACCGTGGAATGAGCCTCTTTAGAGAACATTAAAAAAACGTATTAATTTGGAATGCAGTAGTACTTGGTTTTAATTAAAGGTGTCAGGGTAAAGGGTTCATCATACATATATAAATGTCTGATTACTGTTTGTACATACTTTTAAAAAAAACATGCATGATATTTTACCTTCTTTATCAACTGTCAGGCAAATCAGGATAAACAGGCAGATGCTTCAATTAGTAGATTCAATCATTAGGGTGAAGGTAGGAAACATTATCCAGACTTAGGGAAAGATAATAAGTATCATTATTTGGCTGGAAAAGATCTACTATTCGGTGTCTTCAAATATGAAGGAAGGAATTTCCTTTGGTGGAGGACTTCCTCCAGGATGTCACTATTTACAATAAGAATAATATTTTCTTATATGTCCTCAATGTTTTTTATGATTGTTGCTTGCATCCATCTGAATGGACGTCAATAGGACCCAAGCCTGTGTTGCCCTAGTTTAGTCTTTTAGAGAGAAACTCTGTCTATTTCTTGGTGTTCTTGTTCAGTATGTGGAGCGGCTGCCACGGGAGTCATGGTTTCTTGGCAGGAATTCAGATTCACTAGTTCTCCGATTCTGAAAAGGTTCTTTAAAGCCAGAGAACACTATTTTGACAAATTAAAACATAGTTTTTATAAATGGGGACTTTTTGTCGAAATTAGAAAGTGATGAAAAGAAATCCTTTGTGTCCTGTTTGCAGCTCCCCTTTCATCCGCTATTTCCTGGAGGCTCGATAATAAGGTCTGAAGATGTTTGTCTTTTTCTTCTGACTCACAGGTGCCTTGGCTGGAGATGTAATCTAAAGAAATGGCAGACAGTGGAAAAAATGGGGAAGGAGGAGGCGAGGATGAGACTAAAGGGGGACGTAGATCTTTCCATGTCCCACAGGGCCTCTCCTCAATGGGCTCCAACTCTGTTGGTGCAAGAAGAAATCCATCTAGGGGGATTGTGATCCATCTGACTGGTACTGAAGGAGAGTGGGACAGCCTAGATGACAATGAACTCTTTTTCTCCCTGGATCAGGCTGAGGACCACATTTCTAAATCTCTTCCTAAGGACAGGCTGCTCTCTGCTGAAGAGGAGAGAGGCTCGAAATCCCAGAGCTTTCATGTTCCTCTCTCTCCCTCATCCCCTGGTTCACTGGGGAATTGTTCTGCAGCCGCCCCCAGTTTCCTCTCTCCTGGGCCAACGTCAACCAGCCAGCGGCCCCTGGCTAGCCTTGTCAAGTCCCTCTCAACTGAACTTGAGCCCAAAGAGGGTTCCACTCTTAGACCCAAGCCTTTCCTCAGCCTGGTAAAGTCCATCTCCACAGAGCTGTCCCGCTCAGACCCAGAGGTATCACAATCCAAATCAGACTCACGACTCAATCTCCACTTGTTAAAGCAGCTGACCCAAACTAAAACCAGGAGTGGTGGCGATTCCCGCACTGCCCCGCCGTCTCCTAGCTCTCTCTCTCCTAGTGGTGAAGCTTTGAAGGGGGGCTTCTTCAAAATGGAGCTAGAGGACACCAAGAGGAAGCTTTCTGAGGCTGTGCATGAACCTTTGAGCAGCATGTTCAGCAAGATCATGGGAGAGGAAAGTGGAGGCAGCCCCAAACACCAGTGCAAGTCCAGGTTGGCTCACCAAAGCAGCTGTAGGAGTCTGGGGAGGGATAGCAGCATAGACACGGTCTGTTCAGAATCACCTGTGAGGACTGCAAGAAAAACAGATAGTGAGTTCCTGCCTGTGTTTGAATGGCCTTCAGTTCGACACCTGACAGGATTACAACACAGTCTGTGCCCAGTGCATCATCAGAAACAGCATCACAAGGAAGAGGAGTTAGAAATATGCACAGATGGTGATATGATGCAGGTGTTTGCCTTTGAAACTCTCAAACAGGCAAAGATGTCATCTGGTCATCAAGCCCCAGTAGCAAAAAGATCCAAGACCTCTACTGTCGCTGGGTCTACACGCCCTCTGCCACGTATGAGTTTATTCTGTGTGGCACTACTGTCCTATGGCTACTTCATCCTTCCACTTAGTCCATACGTCTCTGGCCTTGCTCTGGGATTGGCTCTGGGCTTCATCCTTGGGTTGTTTCTCATTCGGATGGGTTCTTCTGGTGCTGAACGCTCAGCTTCTTCTCAAAGACCAGAATTGAAGCCGTTCGGGGATGTTGATTTCACCGAGGGCTTTGGCAGCACTGAGCCTGGCCCCTTTAAGGTAGGTGACTGATTCATAAAGATGTACAATATCACAGACACTGCAGGGCTCTAGTTTCATTTCACCCCTCATTCATTTTTCAAAAAGCCTGTTAATATGGGAGGCAGTAAAGCTGTGGGATAATGCGTCATCAGATATTACATTTTCAGGTATTTGATCCAACAAACCTTGAGGAAAAGATACTCATCTTCAGCCTTACTCTAAAGTAGAACTACCTCCAAAGTGGGTTGTTTAGACTAAATACTGCTCTCAACACAGATCCAAACTGTACAAGAGAGCAACTGTCCTGCAGTTTTCAGTTGAATCCTGTCTCTAACATACCTGAACCAGATGAATGCCTCATTTCTAGACCTCTTCATCACTGTTTAATGCAAATATTTGTCATGATTTTTGCACTTATGACTGGCTTAGTTACTCATTCCATTCAACCGTCTGAATCTGCCTGGTTTCTAATCACTACTCACTTCATCCACCTGCTCCTGCCTCTATTTAAGGTGCCTGCATCCACTTATCTGGGCCAGATTATCTTGTTCTCTTGTGCCGGTGGTGAGAGGGTTTTTAGCGTACGGTACCTTAGTGTTTCTGATTTCCTGATCCTGACCTGTTTTCCCTCTCAACCACTGAGCCTGCCTCTTCCCGTCTGATCTCAGTGGCAAGAGTATTTTTAGCATTACCTTAGTGTTTCATTACCTGATCCAGACCTGTTCTGCCTCTCAACTACTGGGCGCTGTCTGTTCCAGTCTGGTTTGCCTGAACTGTCTTTGGACTCCTGGACTTCTGAATCAGCCTGTACCCATCTAAACGGCTGGCCTGAACTGTCTGTGGACTCTTGCTTGTTCTCCATTCTCCGGGGCTGCAGCTTCTGGGACACTGGGCAGCGCCAACCGCATCTTGCTGGCAGCCCACTGGCTGGATCCTACCTCGTTCTCAGGACACAGGCTGTTATACCAGGGTTTCCTGATAGATGCCTTTTGTAAACGCTTTTGAATAAAGGCTTCTGAATTTTCCCACTGTCTGTCTTGCCTCGAATACTGGGTCCTCTGTTCTGAGTCATGACAAAAATAAGCCCCATTTGCACTACCCTTTTGAAACCGGGCCGAGAACAGTCCGAGCACGATAACTGAGATAGCAACAATAAATGGCATTAAAAGAGCTTGATATGATCTGGAGTGATGCAGAGACTGAGGCTCCCATTAAAATTTGGGTGGAGGATGCTATCCAGGCACATAAGTTCCTGAATGTTTTGGACGCCGCCATTTTTGATTGTGTAATTTCAGCCTTAAGTGCTGTAGTATTGTGGACTGCCCATAGGAGGCAATGAACTGTGCTAGTGTGATGTGTAAATGGTTGTAAGGAACCACGCTTGGCACAGTTAACTGATCCAAGCTCGTTTCAAGCTCGGCAGAAATCGGTTTCAGGGGGGTAGTGTAAATGGGGCAATAGGATGCTTAAACTCCTCATCAGTTCCATGTTTGGTTCTGATAAGCGTCACCAAAGTAGTTTTGGTACCACAGTTTAGATCTATTATCAGAAAAACATTGAAGTTCTAAGATTAATTTAGAGTGAATAAATTTTGCATTGAGAAAAAAGAAAAATAAGACAAAAACAACCAGACCAAAAAGACTGTGTCAGACCTTTGAAGTCCTTTTAATGTTTTCTCTAGGTAAACGTGAGGATGACGCTTTACTGGTTAGCTCCTGATTTTTTCTCTAAGAGGACAGTCGAGTCGCTTCACTGACTCCATCTGTTTGCTGTCCAATTTAAACCATTATGAGAACGCGAGGCGCCTCGAGTCCAATTAACAATGCCAGGTCCACATTGGTACAGTAATTACAGCCCTTCTTCTGTCAGTCACAGAGGCTGTTACTAAGGAACACAGCAGCAGGAAGCAGGAGGCTCTTAGCAGCTTCATGTTGGAGGATAAAAAAGGCGCCAAATGAGGTCAGCTGTCCTGGATGAAGCTAATTCCTCTGCAGGATCATTCAAGGCTGTTGAGAAGTGGAAGGAATGTTCTAAAATCCTTCACAGATCGAAAGCTTTTTGTGTAATATTCCACACACTGGCTTCAGCATCATGGTGTCTTAATAAAATGGGCTCTCCATTACCGCTTTACACTATCCTAGTTTTAAGGACTTTAAAGAAAATTTGTTCTCTTAAACTTGAACAGTAATCTGAGGCTACTTGTGCCATTAACGGCAGTAAAATACTGTAACAGCAACATTTCCATCAGCTTTTATCATTTTTAAAGTTGAGGCATAAAGTTTGATGACAAAATCACATCAGTTTTGAAACACGTCAATATTATTTACAAGCATCCAGCACAAATTCTGTAACATTTCAGCTAAATAGATTCATTTGAATTAATAGTAAGACATTTATGGTTGTTCAAACACTCTTTCTGACATAATTGGCTGTGAGTGTCTATTTTTATCTCAGTAGACAGACTGCAAATACTATTGAATGCTTTGCAGTGCTTCACTGAAGAATTATTTTTAAAAATTCCTTTTGTTTTTTTCAGGGCTGGATGAATGAGATCCATGATTATGACCCAGAAACCTGCCATCCAGCTCTGACTCACTCCGTCTTTGCCACCCTGGAGGGCCCCTTTCTCCGTCTGGACTACCCACGCACCAACATTAGCCGCCGGGCCATGCACGATGAGAGACTCCATGAAAGCACCTTTATAAAGTCATGCTGCTTTGATCTTGCAGGGAGCAAAGTATGATGAGTCCCTCCAGAGCAGTGCTTGGAACATATCTGAGGACATTTTACACATCATATAATTTTCCCCTCTTTCAGGCAGCTCTGTGTTCTGGGAGAAATTGCACTCTTTATTGGAAATGTCATTTATTTGCTGCATGAGCAGAAAATCCAACTGATTGTTAAAACTGTGAATCAGGCCAATGTAGACTCAGTAGATGACGTCTCTAAATTCACTTCTGTCTCACCAATCAATGACAAAAAAGGATAATCTGTGTAATAGAAGTAACTTTACATATTTATACATTTGCATAAGAAGAATACAAATAAAAAAACAAATAGATAAATAAACAAACGTTCAATAGATCGACTCTGGACTAATAATTCAAAATTTCGGTCTTACTTCCTAAAGGTCTTCCTCCTGCCAACTGTCTTAGCTCGGAAGAGAGTTTGGAATCCCAAGTACCCCATCTGTATCCAGCTTGTCAGAGGGGGGACATCTCACGATGATGAAGAAGCAGGGTTGGAGGAGAACCTCCCATCTGAACCAGAAGCTGAACAGGCAGCAACCATTAGACAAGCATCCTACAAACAAAGTAGCAACGCTCCTGTCACCCTGTACCTTTTTGGACGCACTGGTCGAGAAAAAGAAGAGTGGTTTCGTCATTTCATGCTTGCATCCACAGACACCGAGGTGGAGAGGCAAAACCTAGGCAGATTTAACACCCGACAAGGTAGGAGAAGCTCTTTGACTGCCACGCTGTTGCCCTGTATAGAGTCTGCTGTAGAGCGTCTGCATATCCTTGAACCATGCTGATGAGAAATTTCAGCTTTTTAGATTTCCGGCATTGGAGCTGGGTAGCATCTGCATGGGGTCGGGGTCCTGTAGCTGTCAAGGGCTGTGCCCATACTGTACGTCTGTCCTAACCCCACTTTAGAGCCCTATATAAGGGTTACTCCATTTTATATGCATGTCTAATTGTCTAGTGGATGAAAAAGTAGTGGACTCAAAATTTCCCACAATGCACCTTGAAAAGTAGCGCATATCAGTGGGCAATAAATGATCAAATGCTTTGCAAGAGCTTCCTTTGTAAAGCATCATGGGATTTATTTTGTTGGCAAGAAAGAACAAAGATGGCGCAGGCACCATGTGGGGAATGGGAGTGGTCATCTGTCTGAACGGTCAGTTAACTGGGTCAGGGGTTAGGGTGGACGTTTGGACACAGCCAAGCTCTACTGAGTACTGCTAATTTACTCAAGTTGGAGTCAGCTGTATTGATAATAGTGTTGTGCCGATGCCATTTTTTGGCCCCGATACCGATACCTGGCTGTGCAGTATTGACAGATACTGATACCATACCTATACCATCTGTTTGAAATTGATGTGTGTGTGTATATATGAAGAGCTGCATTCTACTTGGATATAAAATAATTGCCATCATGGCTTTGTTCAGCTGCTGCCTACCTTTGTGAAGCAGGAAAAAGACTAACACAAAGGGAATCCAGTAAAACGTTTTATTGCCTACCTGGAATGGGTGACGATAGTTGAATAAACTTGTGGCTCTCTAAATGGTATCGGTGCCCTATTTGTTGGTACATGCCGATACCAGTATTTCAGTGCTGGATAGGGGCCCTGCCCGATACTGGTATCGGTGCAACATTAATTGAAACAGAGACGCTTCTAAACGTTGCAGGACTAGAATTTGAGACCAATTATCTAACTGCTGCAAGATGGGTGCTCTGGTGACTGGAGAAGGGAAACACTAGAGAAAATGAACAAATTAGAGATGCAAACCTGAAGAAGAAAAATTTTATTTTTTTAGAATAATATGAGGTGATCTTACTCTAATAAAATAATAATTTATTTGATTACACTCTTTTTCTGTATTTACCAACATCAGGACAGAATGGATTTTCTCTTTGAATGTTAGGAAAACAAAGACAAGTCGTCTAAAATGTTCCTTGTGGTGAATTCTCTACTAATACTACCTACATGTTGGTGGTTTTCTTTGTCCTGCAGATGGTCCAGCCCAGAACACTAATGTCCCAGGATGCAATGGCTCCAGCGGAATGGGCAGCAGTGATGAGGATGCCCCATCCACACCTCCAGCCTCTTGTTTCCCTGCAGGTCCTTCCAGAACCACCAGAGGACTTGCAGCTCTTAACTACCATAGTTACATGGCTCAACTCTTGGCTGCAGAGGAAATTACCCCCCTCTCCAGTCCCGGGGCCGGCAGCGCAGAGGCAAGCCCCACCATTAGAGCAAACGTACGTTTTAAGCACATGTAATGAAATTTAGTTTTCCATGGTCATCACTCTAAACCAGACTCTGCTTAATTTCTCAGTGCACCTGTGATCAGATAAAGTCCCCTGAAATTAGCCAAACCGCCTGGGCCAACGCTTTGATTGGTCGAATCTTCTGGGACTTCCTTCGAGAGAAGCACTGGGCCGACGCTGTCTCCCACAAGATTCAGAAGAAGCTCAGCAAAATCAGAGTGAGCGCTCTTTAGGTGCAAGCTGCTGAGTCACAGGGAGGTGAGCTATAAATATCCTCCATTTTTAACTCTGACATTCCACATTTTCTGCAGCTGCCTTACTTCATGAACGAGCTGACTCTAACTGAGCTGGATATGGGCTCCTCAATGCCGCTGATCATGGCCACTTCCAGACCAGAGGTTAACCACAGAGGTGAGCAGACTGGAGATGAAACCTGCAGCAGCAGACTCTAACTGAGAAGATGTCATGTGGTTGATGTTATAATCCCATCATCATGTCACCAAACAGGCCAAAGCCACTAAACCCTTGGAGCAGATTTGCTTTTCTATGAGATGGGAGAAATTACTCTTCTTCTCCAACAACTTCACTGTTACACAACCTTCCCTTCAGAGATCATCCTACTTACCAGCCTGTCCCTTTTTTTTCTTCATCAGCTTCTAACGAGGACTCATGAATGTGGTCTGATTATCTGTGTTTAAAGCTGTTTCATCAGCCCCCCACCTCTGCCAATATTGCTTGTTCAGATTAGGGACCACATCAGAACTTTGCTCGGTTTTGGCAGCTTCCCGTTGACCTGTGTTGTTCTCCTCCTGCAGGCCTGTGGGTGGAACTGCAGCTGGTCTACACTGGAAACCTGCAGATGACCCTGCAGACCAAGTTTAACCTGTCCAAGCTGGGTAAAGAGGGCAACCAGGACACATCACACTGCTTTCCTGAAACTGGTGGTCGAAGGTCCGTAACCCCTCCAAACATGCACACATGCATTTTTGTAGGTATATGTAGTAAGGACTATGTTTTGACTCCAAAATGTTGTGTTTTGCTTTTCCTATGGGGATTTGCATCGACTCTAGACCCTAACCCTAACCCCATTACCTGCATATACCACTGGTCCCCACAAATACCTTTTAATCCCCAGAATGTATCATATTCCTGAAAAACATCCATGCAAGATAGCAAGCGCCGTCCCCTAAGGTACGAAACACCAGTCCCAAATCACTTTCATTTGTCTTCAGTTCTTTTGAACACTTCCAATGACCTAACCCTGATTATGACCCTAAATGTAACCATTTGCATACTGCCATGGAAAAAAGATGGTAATCAACCCTGATCTGACTAGCCAGAGTTTGTCTTCCTTACTTACAATGATGGAAATGCTGATTGTTGTGTCAGAGTCAAAACACATCTCTACCCAAAGCAAAAACAGACAATTTGGAAAAAGAGTCTAAAAGTTACGACAACATGTTATGATAATCCCAAACACTCACTAATAGGCTAAACAGCCTCTTTTACACATGGGGCACTCGGGGCAGTGACCCCCAAACTTGAGGAGTGGTTACAGCAGAGAAAGAGTTTTGTTTTTTGTTTTTTTGTAAACGGGAATTAAAAGGAGATATACACTCACCGGCCACTTTATTAGGTACACCTGTCCAACTGCTCGTTAACACTTAATTTCTAAGCAGCCAATCACATGGCGGC